CCGCCTCCGCAGCCAAATCACAGCCGGCCGAGCATTGGCAGTCTCAAGTCTAGCCTGCTGTTACCTCCAATGCCATTGTCAAGTTTTCAAGACGGCAAGCTCCTCTAGCCCCTTGGTGTGCCAGGCGCGCAGCCTCAGAAAATCATCGGCGCAGCATGCGGAGGCCGCATCACCAGACACAGAGACATGTCCCTGCCGGAGCAATGGGGGTACCAGCCAGATTTGGCTGCATGACATGACCAATGCTTTAGCACCTGTCAGTGTGAAGACACTCTATGCTCTCAGTTCGTTGCTGTTGATGGTAAGCTTTCCGTGTCTTGTACGTCTATAATCACCGCTCACTGTCGAACAACCCGTAATTTTAGGCCATGGCATGGAAAACCTTCTGGTGACTCCGTGGCCTGTCGATCCGTGAACACCAAGGGATGCACATCCTCGCATTCCTGTTCTATCCAGCTCTTGTTATCGAGACAGTGTGTGGGGTGAATGTGGTTTACAGGGAAGCGGACATGTTCAACCTATTAAAGGATTCTTACCTGCAGTAACACAGAGCACGAGAGGCGAGCACACTTTGCTTCTGACGAGAGATGTGGATGGCACGGCGCAGAAGGCTGGAGGATTTTTCCGCATGACTGCGAACCAATCCGTGTCTGTTGTATTTGGTTCAGGAGATGGTGGTTTGACATGGTAGGAGGTGGGTGGTGCCTGCGGACTCACATGATCTGGGGATATTTGGGGTCTAGCAGGTTGGCAGCAGTAGCTGGCGAGTGCTGTCGATCCTAGCCTGAACTTCATCACTGCCAACAGGCCTTCATCTGCGGGGCATGGGAGGCCTGCGGTTTGGACAGCTGTCAGGACAGGGGGTGGTTAAGCCACTGGTGAAACCGGTCTCGAATCCACAGTTTGTCTCAGCGTTTGCTATATAGTACTCTCACGTCCGACAGGACCGGGCCATACCCACCCTGCTGCCGAACCCTGGCCCGAAGCAGCATCGGCATAGAGCGATGACTTCCGAAATACCTGTTCGTATGTCGAGGTGGCTGACCAGCTGAGGCAGACTGTAAGTCAGAAGTACTCCGGCAGCGGGTCTTGCACAAAAATTGGCTCGACAGGGATTTAATTCCGGATGGCCAAGAGCCGGCATGATCCGAGGTTCGAGCACAGCGTCTCCGCAGTGGCTGCCCGCGTGGGATGCAGCTGCTGTTCGGTGGCTGAATCTGACACCCAGTCGCTGGGATTCGCTGGCCGTGTGAACTACCAGTAAATGCGGATTCAGGTGTCTATCACAGTGTTCTGCAAGGGTCAATCGCATACGGTTGAACTTGCTGGGCACCGAGCACTTTCTATTGTGAAGCTTGCAACGATGCATATCCTTGGGTGGCCATGCTAAATTAAATTGAACCGTTCCAAGAGGCAACTCGTCCCTGCCTTGCAGTTTTTGTTCACCTGCTATGGTTCGACGAAATGATCTCAGGAAAGGCCATCTTCTCTACCTTTGGGGTGAAGTCGATTGCTGTCCTTGCCCTGCCCCTTGGCCTGGAATCGTGGCTGTGGGCTCGGGCCATCAAGTATTCAAGTAAAATCAGTCGGTCTTGGGCCGCCTCGATTTCTGCGGGCCGACGTCGGGATGGTTTGCAGAAGAGATCTGCTTTGATAAATATGCTGAGGATGTGCTGGATCAGCCGACGCCGTGTTTCCGACTGGAGCGACCAGTCCGGACACTGACACTTGTCGTGCACATCCCGAAGCCGCGGTACCTTCCTTACCACCGTGACATAGCAGAACGCGTCTTTGTTGCTTGGGACTTTGCTGGCTTTCCAGCTTCGCACCGAACTGGTGGGGAACAGAACTAAGACTAAGACTTTTGAGATTCCTGCACTACTACCAAGATCAAGAGGCTTAGATGGTCGGCTGTAAGTCGAGGAAGATTACAGGTAACAAAATCCTGCGGGGCTACGAATGTACATCTCTGCATCTGCAAAAAAAATTGGCCCGCAGTTTGACCATGACTCATCAAGGGCAGTGTTGGTGCTGAAAAACTGCAACTGGGACTTGCAGACGTAGCGTAGTGCACTCTTCAAGTCGAACTAAACATGTGAGAGAGATAGAGAGCAACTAGTCGCAAACATGTTCGCAGTCTGTGCCACCCAGCTACAAGTTTACCTGCCTACCTACCTACCGACCG